TTTCAAATCTGTTAATAACTTGATATCAAATTTAGAGAAATTTGTATTATTTGTCTAATAAAATATTCATATGTTAACTATTTATATGAACTATTTATATGTTGATTATCAAACAAGTATACATTGGAAATGTTTAAAAAATATTTAAAATTTTACATAATATTATAGGTAATGTTACAAAACACTGTAGAGAAAAATATAATATATAAATTTGTTGAACCAGCGTTCGGCAAAGGATTGCTCACAGCACCCGGTAAGATATTTTAGTATAATCAAATTTAAAATAACTTCTAATGAATTGTGAGTATTCGGGTTTCAGTCAGAAAAATCTAAAATATAAAATCTTTCAGTCTTATTGTTACATGAATAAAATTACAAATAACAGTTTTATCTTTTTCTTTCTCTGTCTCTCTCTCTCCCCCTCACTCTCTCATATTTAAATTACATACTAACATAATTAAAAATAGTAGCTTTTATACTTTAATTGCATTCCAGTTATATAATATTTTTATTTACAATTCGATACCAATATGACAAATTTGAAATTATTAATAATTAAATTTCTAATAACATTTCCTGATACCATTTTTATTCATATATTTCATATTCTTTTTCTATATTGTAACTTCTTATAATACTTTTTTCAGAATTAACATGGATTAAAAATCGAAAAATAATAGCACCGAATTTTAATACAATTGCATTAAAAAAGTTTTTTATGTATTTGTGGAACAATCTTTGATAATGACAGATCAATTAGAAAAAATTGGACTAAGTAGAAAGAAAATCATCCTTCACAATCATATAGCTAAATATGCTCTGAGTACTGCCTGTGGTAAGTTTAAATATTTTTATTTATTTATAAAATTATTGCATATCTGTTACCGTTAATATTAAAAAAAATAAAAAATTTACAAGAGAAAACAAAACGCATTAATGATATATATGATAATTGTGTTATAGATCTTAAAAATTAAATAATATTAAATAAAGTTAATATAAAGATAATATTAAATAAAGTTAATATTAAATGAAGTTAATATAAAGATAATTTTTACAAAATTATTAATTAATTCTTTCAATAAAATATCACTGATTTACAGTGTTATACTTAACTGCCTGTAATCAGTGACTGTTTATTGTTTTACAGTGATAATACACTGATTGAAACAATCAGTAATATTAAACTACAATTCATCTCTCCATCTCATCTCCATTCATACAAAATTAAAAATTTTATTTATATTTATTAAATACTTATAATATTAAAAATTTTATTTTATTTTATTTATATTACATGCACATTGAACTTGTTATTTTAAATAGATAACGAACAAATAATTTTTATTAAGTCGCCAGACATTTATTTGTCCGATTTATAAAATCGATTTAATATCTGAAGCCTCTCTATTGAGATTGTATCAGAAATTAAATCGAAATAATATTAATAATATTTTTAATTTTATCTGTCGCTCTTTGCAAACTTTATATTCTTATATTATATATTGCATACTTTATATAATTCTTATGAAAACTTAAATACGAAAGAGATAGCGATCATAGCAGTAAACGAACAAACTAGCGATTTTACAGTAAATTTTATTTTAACTGACCATAATCAGGGAGATAATAAAATAAAATTACAAAAAATAAGCGTTTCTACTGAAGATCAGTAAAATACTCACTGAGCCTCAGTGAAATCTTATTTTACTGTTTAAATTAGTAATATTTTCATTGATTCACTTTCAGAGAATAGGACAAAAGTACAGATATTTCCTTTGTATGATGAGATCCAAGCTATCAATTAAGATTTTGAATGCTTTAAGTGTTACTTTGTGAAATCCGATAATCTATTATTTTCATAACTAGGCGACTCACATATAGATACACAATTCGCTTCGTTGTTGCTATATATAGTTTCAAGATGCTACAGTGTATATTGTTTTTTTGAGTTTTATGTATTTTACTTTCTAAAACATTTTAATGATAAAATGTATTAAATGTGCTGATAAATTTTTTAACATTAGATATAATGAATTCATATATACATATAAAGGATGTTCCTGCATTCAGTGCCAAAATTGATACAGCGGCTTTAAGCATGAAAACAAGTCGAAAATGTAAAACATACATTCGAATTCGAACGATTCTGGAGTTATAAGATTATAAAGCGCTTCCTTAAAACAATATAAATTGAAATAAATGTTATTTAATGTTCTTTATTTTGTTTAAAACTTTACAAAAAATGCTGAAAAATTCTTTCGTCAACTTTGATACACTTTCTAACAGAATTTAATAAATTGTTTCGAGCATTTTGGAAAATATTTAGAATTCTACAAATAACATCCGCAACATTAAATGTATATCGAAGTCGACGGAAGAATTTTTGAGCATCTTTTGTAAAGCTTTAAACAAAATAAAGAACATTAAACAACTTTTATTTCAATTTATATTGTCTTAAGAAAGCTTTAGAAAATTTTATTATCTTATAACTCCAAAACCATTCAAATTCAGACATATGTTTATTAACATTTTCGACATGTTTTCATGTCCTAAAACCGCCGTAAATTCAATTTTGGCATTGACTTCAGGGACACCCTGTATATAATAAAAATAATAAAACAAGTGCAATCTTATATAGCTAATCGTAATTTTCAAGAGTATTTTATAAAGAAACATTCATTTTCTGTTTAAAAATTTTGTATCATTTGTTTACCAAATATATAACTTAATATAATATATAACTTATTAATAAATTAATAATTAATATCTTAACTAATTACTTTATTTTTCATGACATTATAAAGGCACAATGACGGATATCAAATTGGAATTTCTATCCAATGAAATCAATCAATGTCTCGAAGTAATTGCGAGGTAAACTAATTTTAACTCTGAATTTCTTATGTTAATGTATATAAAAATCATAATGATAAGTTTATTTAAAAATATTTTATGCATTTTTTAAGAGATTGCACTTTCAAAAGAATTTTTTTAAATGTACAAGTAGCAATTATATTTCAAATTAAATGTTTATTATGAATAATATTTTTGATGTATAACTAAGAGAATAATATTAGCTTTTTAATTTATTCGTATAGAACTTAATAACTATAATTAGTTAATTATGTGCTTATATCATGCAAGTGCTTATATAATATAAAATATTTTAAGAGAAAAATCTTTTAGCTTGAGAAAGACTTTTAAATCCAGATTGCGAAATCCATTCTTATATTTTGATTTGATATTCAATCTTACTGCTGTGGGACGAGAACAACAAAAGAATGTAAACTTCTTACAATCTTTTATAAATAAAGTAAGTAGGAATATTAATAACTAATTAATTTAACTTATAACATTATATTATATATATGTATATACAGGGTGATCCATTTTAAAGAAGAATTAAAGAAAAGACATAGTTATTTTTAAGAAAAAATATGTAATTGTTAATTGCAAATTACATATCTTTTTTCGAAACAACTATGAGTTTTCTTTACACCAATTGATTCTTCTCATTATTTTGTACATAAAAGTATTAAGGTAAAATAATCGAAAAATGAATATTTTACAAGATATTTTACGGTTTATGTAAAATTAAAAAATGATTTCAAGCCTCATAACTTGGAAAGTACTTAATGAAAACTAACTTAATTATAGTGTTTTGGAAAGCTCTTGAGATGAGCTACAAGAATATGCAAAAGCATATAGGGTGTCCCATTTAAAAAGTTGGAGCTTCCTTCGCGTGTCCTTCAGGTGGCTCTTCAAGATCAAACTAATAACACCATCTTATGTCCCCCTTGAAACCATACAACTTTTGTCTAAAACATTTTTCTCTATCTTGCTTAGGTTCCGAGAAATTTAGCTGGGGAGATTAAAATGGGTCACCCTGTATACACACACACACACACACACACACACACACACACACACACACACGCACACGCACACGCACACGCACACACACACGCACACGCACACGCACACGCACACGCACACGCACACGCACACGCACACGCACACGCACACGCACGCGCACACGCACACACACGCACACACACGCACACGCACGCACGCACACGCACACACACACACACACACACACACACACACACGTATATGTATATGTATATGTATATCTATATATATATATATATATATATATATATATATATATACACATATACATATACATATACATATACATATACATATATTTATATGTATATTTATATGTATATTTACTACATAGTTTATTATTACACAGATAATACAACAGCACATGTATGCATTAAATGAAGAGAATACCAACTGCACAGAATACCAACAGAATACAACTCGTAAGTTTTTATCCATGTTTTATTTGTATGTTTTTTATTGTTCTATTAAGATTAAAGCATTTTAAATTGTGAAAATAACTTTTTTTCATAAACTTACAATATTATTAAAATGTTTGTTTCATTTGTTAAAACACTATTAAAATGCCTAATTTTGATCATTACTAAAGATATTTTTCTTTTTCTAAATTTATTTTCAATATTAATTTTCAAAGCGACACATTTAAATTTGCTATTATAAGATTTAGACACTAATTAACATATACACACACGCTCAAAATTTTACATTTTATTTTCTATATGATATAGATAAAACACTTCTACAGATTTTATTATCTCATAAGTACCCGCAAGAGATGATACATGATAATCTAATTACAATGATATTAGCGGTATGTAAAATAATTCTATATAATTTCTACGTTAATTATATTTGTTTATAAATAAACAAAATTTATTATATTAAATATAAAAAGGCGAGGAAGAATAAGACTAAGAAGAATCAAGCCTAACAAAATAAACGTACTTATTTTGTGTTGAAATTCTTTTTAATAATAATGTTTCGGTTATTTGTGAATTATCTTCAGCATACAAAAATAAATAATATATTGATACAATATAATTAATATTATTTAACTTTGACACTCCAACTAATTTTGTCATATGGCCTATCAACAATTCCAAGGCATTTTTGTGATATTTTTAGTGAACATTAAAAAATGTTATTCTATAGAATAAAAAAATTCTACCTAACTATCGTCATTATTGTTCTCAGCATTATAAATAATGTCATTATAATCGACTGAAAAATAAATATCATAAATAATTTTATTATAAAATGTTTGGCGCCGTAACGACGCCTATGGCGTGCAAAAAATTAATATAAATAAAAAACATAAAGAATCGGCCACAGTATTCATAACATGAATTGCCTTATATGTTTTTTAACATATCATAAATATGTTCTATACCATATGTATATATGTTCTACGTGTCTTTTTTCGAACATTTTAGAGATATAATATGAAGAATATACTTTTATTTTATACATACGAACAAATTGCATTCCTTCAAATACTTAAATTAAATACTTCATAAAAATCTTCTCTTTAACTAATCAAATAAAAATATGATGTGTAGAATTTCAGATAGTGAGATGTGTTGTATTAATCAGCAATCGGACAGATTACTAAAAACACGCAATTAATAGCATAATAATAATAATAATAATAATAATAATAATAATAATAATAATAATAATAATAATAATAATAATAAAAGTAATTTGCAATTCTGTCGAATTACGAATATCATACATTAATGAATCACGAGTTTTAATAAGATAACGAGATTGAAGTCCTTCGGATGTTTTTTTTAAATAAGAGATTAATAATATAAATGTTATTTACGAAACGTCAGAAAAATAGTTACACAGTTTTAATAGACACACAGATATCAAATGTCTTCGTCATACATATGTGACGATTATTGAAAATTTGCCGAAATTCATTTAAATTGAAAATTCAAATGTTTTGCATTCTATGTTGACACATTTATTTTTCCTTCCTCTTCGTATGCAATTTAGTGGTTCATCTTGGTTTGTTTATATCTAATTCTTTGTCAATATGTTATTTACCTCTATATGCTGAAGATGGCTCAAAGAAAGAATCGAAACTATTATTAATCAAAACTATTATTAATCAAAATTATTATTAATGAAAATTTTTACACGTACAATATAAGTGCATTTATTTACTGTGCTCAAATCTTCTTAGCGTTTTTTCTTGCTGATTTTTTATACTTTTCTATTTAATATATTAGAGCCTTTTTTGTTTTAACTTGTTTATTGTATTAATCAACAAATGAAATTTTTATCTTTAGGCTTTCGACACAACAGCTGTTACGTTAGATTTTGCAATCTTTATGTTAGCAAATTTTCCATCAATACAAGTACGTATTTATTAAATTTATTCACAGCAATTTACTCATAATAAAGCGAAATGTGCAAATGATAATCCGATAAGCAGCCCGGCAAGTAAACAGAAATTGATTATAATGTAATTGTAATTTGTGTGCAACCTCAAAGTTCATGAACATGCATTGTTATATACAGGAGCCAAATTTAGTAGTAGCCAAATTTTATACTTTGATTCATGTCAGTAAGCCTTTTCGAAGTTATTGAAGTTATAAAGATTTCCCTGATAAGTCGACGACTGTAGCTATCGTATTATTATCCGCGAATGAAGATAGAAGTGATAAATGATGGTGGATCTACTTTTATAACTGACCGATGCGTATGATATTTTGGGTCATTTTTTAATACAGACATTCGAGCAAATAAAAATGATCCCATCCATGATTAAACACATGGCGTCAATAAATAGACCTTTTTACACCCTACAACTTTCGTTTGAAACAATTTTTTGTAAAACTTCTATTTTTTGTGATCGATTTCGAGATCCCGATTCTTTCGAACACTCCATATGCGATATAATGACACGTTTCCGACTCAGGTTCATTTACAAAAAATGGTTCTATAGTGCCCCCGACAATCTCTGAAAATTTGTCGGTTGAATTTTCAAACACTCTGTATACATTGCGGATTTCGAATGATTGTCACAGAAGTATTGTCAGTTTTTCATTGCTAAAATGCCGATCAGTAGATGAAAATCAAACGTTTACTTCTTTTTTCCATGTAACAATACATGCTTATGATTTCGAGGTTACACGTATAGATCAAATAATTAACGCTTATCTTTATTATCGAACTGCTCTCGTACGATTCTCTATGGCAAATATATTTTTAAACAATAATCAAGAAAACTCTTTTTTTAATAAATTCAATTATATTCACTCAAATCATAACTTATTCAAAATTTTTTTTAAATATATTATTATATAAGCATTATGAAGTAATTTCTACTACTGAGGTTAATAGAATCATATATATTATTGCAAATATTTATCATGAATAAATATGTAGCTGAAGCATTGTTCAAATTGTAACTTAAATTTAGTTTGTAACATAAACATAACATAAACATCATAAATATTTTTTTTTTTCAAAATAACTAAACTTATAAGAAGCGAGCAAACAAAAAAGTATATATCATGTGCGAAACTTATTACAAATTCATTTAAATAAGAATTTTGTGTGTAATGTTTTAATTAAGTTGAGGACTTTAAGATATGTGTACATTGATCTTTATCATTATTATAATATCAGAATACGAATCCGTAAACGTAATTAATAAAATTACATTAAAATTTAAATTTTAAAATGTCTCTTATAATTTATATATATTGCATGTATTTATAATTTATATAATTTATACATATTGCATATATTTATATTTATATAATTAAATGTATATGTTATTAATTTTATATATTAGGAAAAAGTATATCAAGAATTATGGCAAATTTACGAGACGAAAACTCCAAAATCTGCCCCAATTAAATACGAAGATTTAAAACATATGGATTACTTAGATCGTGTCATTAAAGAAACTATGAGATTATTTCCTGCTGCTCCTTTAATTGGGCGATATCTAACAAAGGATATAAAAATGGGTTTGTTTCTAAATATAATTATCTTCTTCTTTTATATGTCTTGTTATTATATATATATATATATATATATATATATATATATGTATATATAATAACATACAGGGTGTCTCATTTTAACTTTCACATTCAAATATCTCGAAACCATGGCGGTTTCGATGATAATGTTTGAAACAAAAGTTGTATGGTTTCGAAGAGGACATAAGAAAGTGCCATTAGTTTGATCTTGAAGAGTCACCAAAAGGTCACGTGAAGGTCACCTTCATCTAGTCAAATGGGACATCCTATATGCTTTTGCCTATTCTTGTAGCTCATCTCGAGAGCTTTCCAAAACACCATAATTAAGTTAGTCTTCATTAAGTACTTTCCGAGTTATAAGGCTTGAAATCATTTCCTAATTTTACATAAACTGTAAAATATTTTGTAAAATATTCATTTTTCGATTATCTTACCTTAATACTTTTATAGACAAAATAATCAATTAGAAATGAATCAATTGGTGTAAAGAAAACATATAATTGTTTCGAAGAAAAAATATGTAATTTGCAATTAACAATTACATATTTTTTCTTCTTAATAAATATTTATTATCAGTTTTATAATTCGGAAAGTATTTAATAAAATCTAACTTAATTATAGTGTTTTGGAAAGCTCTCGAGATGAGCTACAAGAATATGCAAAAGCATATTGGGTTTCCCATTTAAAAAGTTGGAAGTGACCTTCACGTAACCTTCAGGTGACTCTTCAACGTCAAACTAAAGGCACCTTTTTATGTCCCTCTCGAAACCATACAACTTTTGTTTAAAACATTTTCATCGCCATGGTTTCGAGATATTTGAGTGTGAAAGTTAAAATGAAACACCTTGTTTGTGTTTATATATAAAAATAAATTAAACATAGAAAAGTATTTAATAATAGATTCAATAATAGAAATACTTTATAAGATTGACTTTTTTTCTGGAATTATTCGTAGAATTTATTTCAATTATAAATTATGAGCAAAATAAGATCCGATAAAAAAACATGAGTTTTGTTTGTCAAATTGAAAACAAAAATTTTAAAATATATAAAAATAAGCTAAATATAGAAAAGTATTTAATAATAGATTCAATAATAGAAATATTTTATAAGATATTTTATAAGATTGACCTTTTTTCTTTCTGGAATTATTATTCGTAGAATTTATTTCAATTATGAATTATAGGCAAAATAAGATCCCAAAAAAGCACATGAGTTTTTTTTTTGTCAAATTGGAAATAAAAATTTTATAATTGAAAGGAACTGTTATGTTTAAAACAGCAATAATATCTTTTAGTAAATTAAAAATTAAATCTTTTAGAATAATAAAAAATAATAAAGTTTAAATTTATCAAAATTCTCAACAAAAATATTCAATAAAAAAGAACTTCTATTAAAATTTAAAAAATCATTTCAAGTTTTAATAAAAAATATTGTTTGCTCAATGACAATTTTGTACATCAAATATATACTTGTCTGTGAAATGAAAGAACATAAGACGATTTAAATTATATTCCTATTGTTTTATATATAACCTATTTATTATTTTTCTAATAATTTATAATTTTTAATATTTTCTATCGTTATTATAATAATATTATATATAAGCATATATGTTTAGCAGAATTTATTTTGCCAAAGGGCACTGAAGTTTTTTTAATAATATTGGCTCTACACCGAAATGAAAAGTATTGGCCCAATCCGTTGATATTTGATCCAGACAGATTCCTTCCTGAGAAAGGAACATCTAATAAATATTACATGCCGTTTAGTTCTGGACGCAGAAATTGTATAGGTAAGCATAAATAAATCACATAGAACACATATCACAAAGAAATATACTTAAATATAACTATCAAGCTTTTGCAGGTATGAAATATGCAATGATTTCAATGAAAGTTATCTTAGCAATTTTGATAAGAACATTTGTATTCAAAGTAGAGAAAATTACTCAGATAGATGCAATAAAATTAGATATGGATATGACACTACGTAATATTGAACCTATGGAAGTCATTATAAAAAGACGAGAATTACATTAAAATAATGTAAGAATATGTTAATAAACATGGTTTCGAGATATTCGAGTGTGAAAGTTAAAATGGGACACCTTGTATATATATGCACAATTATATTATTATATACAACCTAATATGTTTCAATAGAAAAATAAACTTAATATTTTTTGTATAATGTATTGTTTCTGCATAGTATACATAGTATAGCATAATGAACGGAGAAAGGGCAATCTAAAGTTAAGCCACAATTTATTCATAACGTGATTGAAATTAAATGTAAGTGCTAACATTAACATCATAAATAAATGAAATAAAATACATATCCACAATTGTTTTACCCAATAATTAAATAATATTTATTAAATATTAGTTGTAAATGAAAATATGTGTGTGTGTGTGTGTGTGTGTGTGTAAAGACACGATATTTTTGTTATGTAATGATAGTTTGTTAATTAAAAAAATAGATAATAAAAAATGTTTTTTTATTTTAGAAAAATATTTTGAGTGCTTTAAATGTTTAGTTTGAAAGTTGTAATTTAAGTAGAACTTAATAGTTATACGACAAGAATAATTTTTATTCTTTACTATTGTTCGTTCTTTCTTAAAGGATTTTGCCGAATTATTTATTTCAATTCTCTTTAATTTTTTTCTAAAGTATTTAAAAGTTGGACTATTAATAATTATTAATAATTATTTATCAATTATAAAAATTTTAAAACTGTGATTCAATTTTTTTTACAAATTCTTTAAAAAATATGTTATTTAAGAAAAAATGAAGCATGTAATATATTTTTAATAAATTTGTTATATATATTTGTTATATAATTCTTTGTTATGTACAGTTCTTTGTTAGAAAATAATTACCTGTAAATATATTACCATAAAAAAGATATATTATAATTATACTTCGATTTTTGTTTCAAATAATTTTAATAAATAAATAAATAACTTTAAATAACTTTATAAATCGAATGTGTTGTATATTTATTGAAAGACATTTAATATTTTTTGTATAATGTGTTGTTTCTGCATATATATATATATACAGGGTCTACCAAAAGTGTGGAAACCCCTAAATATCTCGGAAAATATACGTTTTACAGAAAAGTGTTTCCAACAAAAGTTGTAGGGTTTAAGAAGATCTATATACTGATTCTATCAGTTTGACCTTGGATGGCGTCGTCAAGGTCAGGTCAAGGTCACATTGACTTTTTTAAATGACACCCCCTACATTTGATTGCATATTCTTATAGCTTAATTCAAGAGCTTTCCAAAACACTATAATAATGTTCATTTTTATTAAGTACTTTGCGAGTTATGAGGGTTGAAATAATTTCTTAATTTTACATAAACCATAAAATATCTAGTAAACCATTCATTTTTCGATTATCTTACCTTCATACTTTTATGTACAAAATAATGAAAGGAATCAATTGGTGTAAAGAAAACATACAGTTGTTTTTAAGAAAAAATATGGAATTGTTAATTGCAAATTACATATTTTTTCTTAGAAACAACTATGTGTTTTCTTTACACCAATTGATTCCTCTCATTAATTTGTACATAAAAGTATGAAGGTAAGATAATCGAAAAATGAATGGTTTACTAGATATTTTATGGTTTATGTAAAATTAAGAAATTATTTCAACCCTCATAACTCGCAAAGTACTTAATAAAAATGAACATTATTATAGTGTTTTGGAAAGCTCTTGAATTAAGCTATAAGAATATGCAATCAAATGTAGGGGGTGTCATTTAAAAAAGTCAATGTGACCTTGACCTGACCTTGACGACGCCATCCAAGGTCAAACTGATAGAATCAGTATATAGATCTTCTTAAACCCTACAACTTTTGTTGGAAACACTTTTCTGTAAAACGTATATTTTCCGAGATATTTAGGGGTTTCCACACTTTTGGTAGACCCTGTATATATATATATATATATATATATATATATACAGGATGGGGCAAAAGTTCCGGAACGGTCAATTATCTCAGGAAATATTGGTTTATTAAAAAAATGTTTCGAACAAAAGTTGTATGGTTCAAAAAAATCTATCTACTGATCTTATTAGTTTGACCTTGGCGTTGCCAAAGTCAGGTCAAGGTCACGTCAATTTTTTTAAATTAAACATACCATTTTTGATTCAAGAATCTAATAGCTGATGTCAAGAGCTTTTCAAAACCCTATAATAAAGTATTTTTTCGTTAAGCACATCACAAGTTATGAAGCTTGAAAGTTATAGTACCGCCGGCATTAGCATTACCCAAGATATACCACGCGGAGGTTGCACGGTCGGATTTATATCTTTTTTGTTTTGTGATATGTGCGTGTATGCGTGTGTGTGCTTGTACGTGTGTGTGTATGCGTGTACGTGTGTGTGCGTGTGCGTGCGTGCGTGCGTGCGTGCATGATGGGGCTCCAGCTCATTTCGCATTGCGTGTACGCAATTTTCTAAACGAAACTTTTATTGGTCGATGGATTAGTAGAAGAGGCACGATAGAATGGCCACCGAGATCTCCCGATCTAAACCCGTTAGACTTTTTCTACTGGGGATATTTGAAAAGTAGAGTCTATGAAACGAAACCTACCAACGTGAACGATTTAAGAAAGAATATTAAACATTTCAAATTTAATAACACCGGAAACTTTAAGAAACGTCACAGATACATTTTATTTTCGCTTAGGATACTGCCAAGAAGCAGGAGGACATCAATTTAAACACTTAATAAATTAATGAACATTTATTTAGAAACACATAAGAGAGCACGCGCGCGCGCGTATGCACGCACGCACGCACGCACGCACGCACACGCACACACACGCACACACACGTACACGCATACACACGCACACACACGTACACGCACACACACGCATACACGCACATATCACAAAACAAAAAAGATATAAATCCGACCGTGCAACCTCCGCGTGGTATATCTTGGGTAATGCTAATGCCGGCGGTACTATAACTTTCAAGCTTCATAACTTGTGATGTGCTTAACGAAAAAATACTTTATTATAGGGTTTTGAAAAGCTCTTGACATCAGCTATTAGATTCTTGAATCAAAAATGGTATGTTTAATTTAAAAAAATTGACGTGACCTTGACCTGACCTTGTCAACGCCACCCAAGGTCAAACTAATAAGATCAGTAGATAGATTTTTTTGAACCATACAACTTTTGTTCGAAACATTTTTTTAATAAACCAATATTTCCTGAGATAATTGACCGTTCCGGAACTTTTGCCCCACCCTGTATATATATACAGGGTGTTCAAAAAGTCCCGGTACGGGGGAATAACTCGAAAAGTAAGGGTCGGACAAAGAAACTTTTCGGACAAAAGTTGTAGGGCTTACTCCGAGCTTTTATCTCGTGACCTTGAGTTTGACCTTGAGCTTGACCTTCAAGGTTATTTGAAGGTCAAAGTGTTTTTTTTAAATGGGAACCCCTATTTTTGATTCTATATTCTTATAGCTGACCTCGAGAGCTTTTCAAAACACTATAATAAAATATTTTTCCCTCAAGCATTTATCGAGTTATGAGGCTTCAAATCATTTCTTAATTTTACATAAACCGTAAAATATCTTGTAAAATATTCACTTTTCGATTATTTTACCTTAATACTTTTATGTACAAAATAATGAGAGGAATCAATTGATCTAAAAAAAAACACATAATTGTTCCGAAGAAAAAATATGTAATTTGCAATTAACAATTACATATTTTTTCTTAAAAACAACTGTATGTTTTCTTTACACCAATTGATTCCTCTCATTATTTTGTACATAAAAGTATTAAGGTAAAATAATCGAAAAGTGAATATTTTACAAGATATTTTACGGTTTATGTAAAATTAAGAAATGATTTGAAGCCTCATAACTCGATAAATGCTTGAGGGAAAAATATTTTATTATAGTGTTTTGGAAAGCTCTCGAGGTCAGCTATAAGAATATACAATCAAAAATAGGGGTTCCCATTTAAAAAAAACACTGACCTTTAAATAACCTTGAAGGTCAAGCTCAAGGTCAAACTCAAGGTCACGAGATAAAAGCTCGGAGTAAGCCCTACAACTTTTGTCCGATAAGTTTCTTTGTCCGATCCTTACTTTTCGAGTTATTCCCCCGTACCGGGACTTTTTGAACACCCTGTATATATACAGGGTGAGGCATCTAAAACAGGCCACCTGAATAACTCCGTTGGTAAGCCGAATACAAAAAAATTGTTCAGACAAAAGTTGTATGGTTTCAAGGGGGACATATAATGGTGTCATTAGTTTAATCTTGAAGAGCCACCCGAAGGTCACGTGAAGGTCAGCTCCAACTTTTTAAATGGGACACCTTATATGCTTTTGCATATTCTTGTAGCTCATCTCAAGAGCTTTCCAAAACACTACAATTTATGTTAGTTTTCATTGAGTACTTTCCAAGTTATGAGGCTTGAAATCATTTTTTAATTTTACATAAACCATAAAATATCTTGTAAAATATTCATTTTTCGATTATTTTACCTTAATACTTTTATGTACAAAATAATGAGAGGAATCAATTGGTGTAAAGAAAACATACAGTTGTTTTTAAGAAAAAATATGGAATTGTTAATTGCAAATTACATATTTTTTCTTAGAAACAACTATGTGTTTTCTTTACACCAATTGATTCCTCTCATTATTTTGTACATAAAAGTATCAAGGTAAGATAATCGAAAAATGAATGGTTTACTAGATATTTTACGGTTTATGTAAAATTAAAAAATGATTTCAAGCCTCATAACTTGGAAAGTACTCAATGAAAACTAACATAAATTGTAGTGTTTTGGAAAGCTCTTGAGATGAGCTACAAGAATATGCAAAAGCATATAAGGTGTCCCATTTAAAAAGTTGGAGCTGACCTTCACGTGACCTTCGGGTGGCTCTTCAAGATTAAACTAATGACACCATTATATGTCCCCCTTGAAACCATACAACTTTTGTCTGAACAATTTTTTTGTATTCGGCTTACCAACGGAGTTATTCATATGGCCTGTTTTA